TACTAATACCATAAAGTAATGAAAGGCCTCCTTAAAGTTCTTAAGTCTTCTTCTCCTCTTGTAGCTAAATATTAGTATCTTTCCTGGTCTCTACTTATTCTTAGAACATAAACCTGATCCTGTCTTTTCATATTTAATGGATTGGAGTGAGAATGCCATCCACTAATCATCTATTTTAATATCCAGGTTAAAACTTTATAAACAGAAAAAGAAGACAGACATAACAATAAAAGTGCTAGCCTTTAGTAGCTAGAGAAACAAATACCAGCCTGCAGTATAAATCCCACCTTTTAGGAACATGTCAGTCAGGCCTATCTAAATTCTATATACAATTCTTTGTGTACTGTGGACATTCCTTAAGGATTAAAATGTAGAGTGGATTAAGTTACTCAGTGGCATTTCAAACAAATATCTTTTAAATCAATAAATAATTTATATTTATTTCAAACTAGTAAGTGAAAAATGAGCAGCAGGATGGGTGAATAAAGGAGAAAATCTTGCTTTCAGGGGTATTATCAGTAATTAGAGAATTGCTTTACATGAAATATTTATTTCTATAAGGTGTATTTTGATGAGCTTTTAAATTGTTTCATAAGAAAGTTTGAAAGATGGTCACTTTCAGTGCAACGGCAGTAAAAATCATTGACTAATTTTCTGTGTCAGAAATGGTGCAAGAAGAATGTTTCCTCCCCCGTTTCCTTTTGCTCTCCCGGTCACAGCAGGTCACGTGACGTCTATCACGTGACTCGGTCAAAGGATCTTTTCCTCTTACAGCTTTGCAAAAAAAAAAAAAAAAAGGCTAAGCCGTTCTCCAATTAAAGCTGTTAACGTGTACTACGCTGTTTCCTTGTTGGATTTTCTTGTTCTCTGCTGCTACTGTAAAAACAAAATGAGTGGTAAGATTTGCTGGTTTTGAAAATTTGCTTTTATTTTAAAACATAAAAAACATTGTATTAATCTGAAGTCTTGCGGCGTGGTTTTTTGAATAGATGCCAAAATATAATCTCTATAAAATATTTTAAATTGTTGCTATGTAGTTTTAAGAAGATTAGTCTCTATGTTGAGTTAGACTGATTTTATATTCCACAGTATATCCCATTTTGGACTCTTTATTTTACTACGTTTTTCTTATTAAAACGAAAATATGAAAATTGGCATCAGATTATTTGGAAGCCATTGTGAAAGCCTGCTTGTAAAGAGAATGTGTAGCACGTCAGCAGTCAGCAGCCGTTGCATTTTAAGAATTTAAATGCTTTGACAAATTCGGAGGTTTTTTTAAAAAAAAAAAATTGCTCTTAAACATGAATATGCATTAACAAAGAAAAATAAAGAAGAACTTCACTTATAGTAGATGAAAATCTTATGTATTAGCACTTTTTAAGAATTGAGGTGGAGAGGTTCCCAAATTTAAGACAGTTGCTGAATAGAATTGTTTTCTCTTCTGCAGGTTTTTAGGATAGGAAATGTACCCCTAAAAAATAATGAATAATTATAATTTGGAGTAGATTTTGCTCAAAATAGGTAGAATCTGAAGGAGCTGCTTGGTGTATCCATAGTTGTTTCGATATAGCTAGCTATTCTTGTGTGAAGTGTGCATTTAATGATACAGTCTATAATAGATTTAGCTTCTTCCGTGGGGCCAAATCTCCCTTGCTGCATACAAATTTATATCAGTCTGTAATTAATCTTTTAAAACTTCTTAAATTAAAAAATATTGTTGGAATAAAGGAAGCAATCAAACATTTGCATTATTAAATATGCCTGGCTTTATTTAGGGTTTTGCTACCATAAACAGCAAGGGCAAGAGAAATAATGCTATAAAAATTGTTCTGAACATCATACTTATATTTACTATATTTATATATTGTGGGTTTACATTTTCATTGTTAAATGTTATTTCATACTAGTGTTGTAAGTACTAAATATGGTACTGATGAAATTGTCTTTTTTTWAAAAAAACTTAACCATTTATCATTTCTGCCTCAGAATAAGAAAATTTACTTGCTAGAGTAAAATGATTACATCATAGAGAAGCATATTAATTGGTATTATTCCTGACTACAACTAGTAAGGATTTCTTATTGGTTTACTTTAAGTTAGGTTTATTTTGTTTTGTTTTCAGTATCACACTTAAACATAACTAAAATTATGAACTATTTTAGCCACTGTCAAAAAGTAACATGGTAGGCTGGGGATATAACTCAGTTGGTATGCACAAGGCGGTGGGGTCAATCCTCAGTACCACCAAAAAAAAAAAAGTAACATGGTTTGAATTATAGCTACAAGTATTTATATAGTTTCATCTCTATTAAAGGAGGATAACCCAGTGCAAGTATGTAGTTTTACCATTTTAAATGTTATCAGCAATAACATTACCAGGCACAGTAGCACACACCTGTAATCCCAACATCCTAGGAGGAGTTCAAGGCTAGCCTCAGAGTTTTTTTGTTTGTTTGATTTTGTTTTTTCTTAATTGTTTTGATACTGGGAATTGAACCTTGGGATGCTTTACCCCTGAGCTACATCCCTGCCCTTTTTATTTTGGGACAGAGTCTTGCCAARTTGCTGAAACTGACCTCAAACTTGGGGTCCTTTTGCCTCAGCCTCCAGATTCACAAGCACCCTGTCTAAAAAGTATTATTTTGAAAGAAGCCTTTCTGCATAGAAGTGTAAAACAGCATACAAGTTTCATGTTGTAAATTAAATTAATAGGTAATATTTGCTTAAACTTAAGAAAATTTTGTTCTCTCATGGTTTTCAAGGAAATTGAAACAAAGGCAGCCTTAACTCCCCTTTGAGACATTAGAACCTAGCTTAAATTACATCAAATGCCAATATGCATAGTATTTTAATATTTATGTAGTAGAGTTTATATCCTTAGAAATGAAACTGAGCCTGGTATATTGGCATACACCGGTAATCCCAGCTACTGAGGAGAATCCCATGTTCAAGGCTAGCTTGGGCAATGTAGCAGAGACACTTGTCTRTAAATAAATGGGGGTTTTGTTTGTTTGTTTCTTTTCTTTTTTTTAAGGGGACAGGAATGTAGCTTGTGGTAGAATGCTTGTCTAGCACACATGAGGACCTGAATTTGTCCCCAGTACTGCAAAAGAAGGGGAAAAAAGAAAAGAATAGTGCTTCTGTTTCCACATCTAGAAAATGAGGATAGTGGTGAAATTTCTCTGATAAAATCATTATAGGACAGAAAACTGTATAAAAGGCCTGGCATATAGTATGTTATATTAGCTGTGTACAATTAAGATATTCTAAACAACTTTAGGAATTTGGTAGGCTTGTTTTGGATCAGAGAAGTATTTTGTTGAGAAGTTATTTTCATAGCCAGATATTATGGAGTATAATTCAGTAGTATACATTCCCTCTCCCTCCTTACTTTATCTTAACCACTTCAGTATTTGCTTTCTCCTATCCCTTCTATTCTTTCACCCTTTTCCTTTTTCTTCCTCTTTTATCCCTTCTGTTTTCCCTCCATCTTCCCTCTTCACTTTCCTCCAGGCTGCTCCCTTATCTCTCCCCCTTCTCTTCTTACCTTTTTCTTCCTTTCCCCTTTTTCTTCCTCTTGCCTTTCTCCTCTCCTTCCCTTTCCCTCTATTCTCACCCCAACCCTGCCTTTCCTTGCCTGTTTAGCACTTCTTCTCCTCTTGTACCCTGTTTTCACATTCTCTTTTTCTTTCCTGCCTACCTCTTGCCTCAACCTTCCCCTCCCCCATCACCATTGTATTGTTTTGTCCTCACCCCTCCCCCTTCCCTAGAAAGGCTGGAATCTGGATTTGCTGGAACCTCCATGCTCTTTATTGTTTTCCTAAAGCATGTGTAATATTACCTGTAGTTACATTGACTGGCAGATTTAAATTCTGCATATAAAAAACGATTCTTTCCCTATTACATTAATTATCAGATTCCTTATTTGCTTAGAAATAAGAGATTTCTTTGAAAAGTTTTCATTTCAAGTGATTAAAACTAGTGGGTGAAAGGATACAGTAGTCTCAAGTTACAAGAAGAAAGGATCTGAAAGTGAGATACTTTTCTAAAAAGTTACTTAAAGCAAGGAAGATTTTAGTTTCTAGAAAGAATAAAACACCTCCAAAATGCTTATATTACTCCCAGAAAAGTGAGAAGAGAAGGTAAACAAGTGATAATATTTGTAAAAATTACTTGGAAAGCATAACACTATAAAAATGAAAGGAAATAAAGGATAAAAGAAACATATTTCTGGGGCTTGGGTGTGGCTTAGTGGTGGAATGCTCTCCTAGCACGTGGGAGGCACTGGGTTTGGTCCTCAGCACCACATAAAAATAAAGGTATTGTGCCCACCTACAACTAAAAAATATAAAAAAAGAAACATTTCTTTTTTAGAACTTATCAGTGTAAAAATTATATATATATATATATATATATTTTGGGGTAAGTATACATATATGACAATTCTCTTTGTTCTTAAGCACCCCCAGACATGACTTATATTACATGAGAGTCTTAAACCTAACAAAGCACATGTATATTTTAACTATTCTTCTCTTCCCTTTTTTCTTGATTTTTTTCCCATTACTTTTGAGAATTTAGCTTTTCTATCTTATTGATTTTTTTTTTTAAATATGCACAGTTCTGTTTGGTTTTCTCCAGGTCACTGTTTCCAAGTTGCAAAATCATGAGAGTCACCTGGAATATTTATAAAATAAATATAATTATTCAAGATTGTAGGCATTTTAATAAGAATCTCTAGAAGAGCATGTAAATCTTATGTTTTAGTAAGTTCCCCAGGTAACTATTATCACTAGACAAGCTTGAGAAACGCAAGTGTAGGTAAAAGGTAATTGGTGCTTTTATAAGGCAAACATTAATAACAAGTAAGTCACCTGAGTTTCTTTTTATAGTGATACAGTTACTGTTGGYTTTAGTGTTTAGATAAAATAGTCAATTGTTTTCAACTTTGGCTTGCTAAGCAGTCATGTATTAATGAATCATTTTTCTGACTCATCTAGGTCCTGCTCAGGTTCCAATGATGTCCCCAAATGGTTCTGTGCCTCCTATTTATGTGCCTCCTGGATATGCCCCACAGGTATGTTTTTATGTTATTTTTCTTATTGTATGTTTATAATAGTGATGAGGTTTCTCTCTCTCTCTGGGGAGGGGGGTACATTGCTTGGGATTGAACCTAGGGCCTCTTGCATGAGGCTCTGCCCAATCCCCAATAAAGTTATTCTTTTTAACTGGTTCTCATGGGGGAAAATTACAATGTAAAATGCTGACCATCTTTGGTGAATCCATTTATTTAAGTACTTCAGTACATTTGTAAAGGAGAAAAAAGTATATTGGCAGTGCTCACCATTTGGTCTTGTCTTTGGGTACAAAAGAAACTTCATTTTGGAGTTTATATCTCCCTGAGTATGTAACTAATGTTAGTTATTTGAGCTGATGGGGCACCTACACTATCATATTTTTTAATTAATCATTTGCTTAGAAGTAAGCCAAAACAATCCTTCCAATTTTATTCATGCAGTGGCTCTCAGATACTGATAGAAATTATATGGCATATTATGATAAATAGAAGAGAATTTAAATCTGCAGTCCTAAGGGCTGAAGGGATCAGTATCACTGCCCAACTATACCTTTTCTGCTCACATGTTAGCAAGCTCTGTCTTAAAGAAAAGTATGGGACTGGGAATGTATCTCAATGGTCAAGTGCTTGCCTAGGATGCATGAGGCCCTAGGTTTAATCCCCAGCACCACAAAAAAAAAAAATAAAGACAGTGGTTAAAAAAAAGAGAATCAAGTATAGTTAAGTTATATACGCAAGCAAACTGAATTAAGCTCTAGATTTGCCGGGTATTCTTTGAGTACTGAGATTCTGTATAGCCTGCATTTATCACCTTGGAAAAATACTCATTTTCTCTACCTAACACTGAATTTACATTTTAGTTTTGTTCAGACTCTCTCTTTTTTTCTTCCCTAATCATGGCAAAATATTGGTAGGATATTATGGTAGATTCTTGGCTTACTTCATGAAGCACACCACTATATGAACAACAGCAAAAATAATAGTACATGCTGGCTGGGAGAATGGAAGTAAATCTGAAATTGAAAGACAGAAAAGCTGGATCTATATCTTCAAATACTTGCTTGCTCCCAGGCCTTGGGCAAATCACCTTCCTTGAATCTCAGTGCCCTTATTGTAAGATAAGATGATAACATGAGATAACATAGTTCAAAGTACAGTGGGCAAAGGAACTGAACAGACCCCTCTCAAAACAAGAAATATGAATGATCAACAATATATGAAAAAGTATTAAACGTCTCTAACAGTTAGAGAAATGTAAATTAAAACTACATTAAGATTCCATCTCACTCCAGCAGAATGGAAGTTATCACGAATACAARTAACAAATCTTGGCAAGGATATGGGGAAAGGGGTATGCTCATACATTGCTGGTGAGACTGCAAATAGGTGCAACCTCTCCCACTCCTCAGCATGTATCCAGAAGATTTATCAGCATAGGGCAGTGATACCGCCACATCGATGTTTATAGCAGCACAGTTCACAGTAGCTAAGCTATGGAACTAACCTAAATGCCCACTAACAGATGGATAATTGTGGWGTATATATACATGATGGAATATTACTTAGCCATAAAGAATAATGACATTATTACATTTGCCAGTAAATAGATGGATCTAGAGACTATCATGCTAAGTGAAATAAATCCCAAAAACCAAAGGTCAAGTGTTTTCGATGATGTGGAAACTAAACCACCATAAAGTGGGGAGAGGAAGAAGAGAAGTTCAGTAGATTAGACAAAGGGAAATGAAGGGAAGTGGAGTAGGTGTAAGAATAGGAAAGACAAATAATAAATCTAATTTTCCTTTGTACATATATGAAATTACCTAAGTGAACCCCACCATCATGCCTCCCCACAAGAATGGAGTCTTAATTAGAATAAGAATGGATTCTACTGTCATGTGTAACTAATAAAAACCAATAAAATAATAACTAAAAATAAAGTACATTGTAAGGGCTGGGGTTATGGCTCAGCAGTAGAGCACTCRCGCCTCGCACATGTGAGGCACTGGGTTCAATCCTCAGCACCACATTAAAAAAAAAAGTTTATAATAATAATAATAATAAAGTACATTGTAATCTTTTAGAATAGTTTCTGCTTGGTATCTCTACTTTTAATACACTGACTCCTTAATTTATTATTGTCTGCATTCTGCCTATATTACCCTTCTCCCTGCTATGTACCCATATCTAAGGGACTTTTTTCCAGCCTGATTCTCTGACCCCTAAAAATCTGACATCATTGTTATGATTTTATCCCAGATTTTCTTGCATGTCTTTATTTTTTTCTACTTCTTCTCTGTTGTTCTTTCTTGAATTTTGTTCACTTATACAAAGACTGTTCTCTAGCATAAAGTTCAACATTTATTGAGTGGTGTCTTGTCCCAAACTCTGTATTGGGTACTAGTGACACAAATTATTTCCATTATAGGGCAACTTGATATTCTCATCTTATAATACCTTTTCTTTTTATGTTTGCAACAAACTCTTCCTGTTCTCATTTCATTCATTCATGAACTTCTAAAAGCAGGTTTCCTTAAGCCTTTCCAGGGACCTCTCCYTTTGGAATCTCTTGGCATATAATATTTATGTATATGTGTATGTGTCTTAATGAATTTTTCACAGTTTGTTAACTAATTCTTTTTCCTAGGAAGATTATGAATTCTTAAACACTGTCTTTATCAGTGTTCCACACAARTATATGTTGAGTGCCCTTGAATGCTTGGGATACATATGCTAAATAAAAGAGACAAAGACTCTTATTCCCTCTGAAGTTTACATTCTTGTAGGGAGAAGCAAACAAAAATTATAATCAATAGATAGATTAATATTAGGTAGGAGTGATGGGGGAAGGGGTTAGAGCTGATTACATTTTAAAATAGGATGTTAGAACAGGCCTCATTGAAAGGGGACATTTGAACCAAGTCTTGAAGGATAAGTRGGAGTTAACCATTCATTTGTCTGAGGAAGAGGGTTTTAGAAACAGACAGTGCAGATGGCCTAAAATGAGAACATGTTTCATACCTGGGAACAACAGTGAGTTGTCAGGACAGAATAATAGTAGGGAGTGAGGTCAGAGAGTTAACTGGACTCAATCACGCAGGACTTTTTGTTCTGATTTTATCTTCAGTTCTAGGTACAGTGCCTGTATAATAGGAGCTCAAAACATCAAGGAAATAATCATCTAGATTRAGGTACTATATCTTTAGACAAAGAACCACTAAAATAACTTTCTCGTGGCTTTTTTTTTTTTTTTTAATCTTTTTACTTCTTTGGGCATAAACAGCCTTTAGTTGACTTACCCACTCAATAAAGTATAGGTGTCTTAACATTTAAGGCATTACATAGTTTGTCCTAGTTTGCTATTGCAGGTTGTTCTCTTTATACTTTCAATCATGTATCCATTTTTGCATGATTTCCCAAGTGCTCATCTCTTTCTTTCTCCATTGTTTTGTTAAAGTTATTATTTAGGGAATAATTCCCCTTTTTGGCCTTTTGGAATGTGATCTGTCCTTGAGGGCCTATACCAAGTTATTTGTACCACTTCTTGATTATATACCACCTAATATAATAATTGTGTGTGCCTTAAACCCCTATAGGATTTAGGTTCCTTGAAGAGTAGCCTTTTAATTATTTTTGCATTCTTGTGGTAACTCAAAATGTAGTAGGTGTCCCATAAATAGTTGTCTAATTAATTAAACAGCAATCTTGCTGGAAAGGTTGTGGAAGGCTAGCAGACCTACAGTTATTAACCTTTGGATCAAGATTATCTCATAAGACATTTATTACTTCCAAGCACATGGGATAATTTTTAAAAATCTACTCTTATCATTATTTAAATAATTTAAGTACCCATTATATAAGATTATATTCTTACATTTTCACATCACTGTCAAAACAACTTCATTCCCTAATACCACAATTTCTGTTGGGAAACATTTATCATTAAAATCCAAGTTCTAGGCTGGGGGCGCCGTGGTGGACACCTTTAATCCTAGAGGCTCAAGAGACAAAGACAGGAGGATCGTGAGTTCAGAGCCAGCTTCAGCAACCTAGCAAGGCACACTTAGCATGACCCTGTCTCTAAATAAAATATTAAAAAGGCCTGGGAGTGTGGCTGGGTGGTTAAGTATCCCTGCATTCAATCACTGGTAACACACACACATACATAAGTTCTAGGTACAGCTAAGTGAGCATTTGACAGATTGTCCAAAACTTAACACACAATCATAATGTTAGCAATCCAGAAGCTGCAAGTTTAATCAAGTATTAAAATTTATAGATGGCTTTAATAATATATAAGTTCTGTTTGGCTCAGCAGGATCCAAGAGTACAAACTATCTAGTTTCCTTTTAGACTTTTATACACCGATCCTTCCTTTGCTTTAAGGCTAGTAACGTAAGGAAGGTCAAATTTTGCTGTGTCGTCATGTTTCTAACAATTCACTACATACTAACAATTCAGCAAATTTATGTATCTTAACAGGTTGGATCAAGCCAGCAAGAACCACAAAAATTAAAATCCAGTGTTGGGACCACTTTAATCCATAAATRAGGAAATGAGAATGCTACTAAGAACATATTGTGACAGAAAAATAAAAGAGCCAAAAGATAGATCTTTTTATTTTGGGAGAGTTTTTTATGGTACTGGGGATTGAACCCAAGGGTGCTATATCATTAAGCTACATCCCCAGCCCTTTTTATTTATTTATGTTTGTTTTTTTTTTTTTAAAGAGAGTGAGAGAAGAGAGAGAGAAAGAGAATTTTTAATATTTATTTTTTAGTTCTTGGCGGACACAACATCTTTGTTGGTATGTGGTGCTGAGGATCGAACCCGGGCCGCACGCATGCCGGATGAKCGCGCTACCGCCTGAGCCACATTCCCAGCCCCTTATTTATGTTTTTAATTTGAAGACAAGGGTCTGATTAAATTGCTGAGATTGGCCTCAAACTTGTGATCCTTCTGCCTCAGACTCCCACGACACTGGGAGTACAGACATGTAT